TGGAAGCCCTATAACGTATTGCCTGTCCCTTGAACAGTCTGTCTTCTCAGGGATGGCTCCCAAAACCCAAGGGAGGAATAACTTAGTCATGAACTGAGGTTTATTTCTGGGGCATGTTTTGGCATATATCAAGTTAGTACCTGAGGAATTTGAACTTATTTAATCCATTATTAATTTACCTCCAAAGCAAGGTTGCAAGTGCAGTGTGAGTGACTGCTGGGCAAGAACACATCATCTATTTAAATTTAGTAATGTCTTCCTACCAGTGACAGTAGCTGTCAGATTTGATACACCCTCCTTGCTAAGACAGATTGTTTTTGGTACCTTTTCAGTTCTGTTTATTCACAGAGTGCTTTACAGTTTGCCAGAGAGATCAGACAGCTGTGAGCTAGGTACTCCCTTACCCTGTATAAGGGCATTGTCTCCTGATTGGTATGGTATGATAGAAGAGCTCCATGCGGTTCACTGAAGTGTCTAGAGAGAAATGCACAAGAAGCTGATCTGAAAAGCTTTGTGTGTGTATGCACACCCACACCCCCCCCATAGCTGTGACCTGAAAGTACTTTTCAGAGATAGGCCTATGTTGTAGGCTTTGCTCAATTCCAAACTGCTCAGGAGGGTTTAAAAATGTCATCGATTCAAGTGAGTTTCTTGTATGTGAGGGGCAGGGGTATGCACTGAAGACTAAAATTGCCTCAGTCTACAGCTTTTTTTCTAACTATTTATGGAAGTTGAGGTGAAAATGAAGATTAAGTTCTCTAAATAACTAGCTGCTTTTATTTTTCTTTTCTTATTTTTCACAGGTACAGTCAGCATCCCTCAATTTTCCTTTCTGAAAAATCATTCTTTCTTTTGTTTCTCCTCTTTCTGTAATCGTTTCAGTTTTCATGCTACCAGACCAGCTTGCTACAACTTTATTAGCAGTGCCGTATGAGGTGCATACTCATAAGGGGGAAGTAGCTATGATAATGTGAAATTCATATGAAATGAATTTTTTTTTAAATGATCTCTGCTACAGAGAGAGCTTGCTCTTCTCTGCCACTTCCTCAAAGCTGGATGAAATAGGAAGAGGAAATAAGTCATCTCCATGAGAGCTTTCTACAGAGTATATGAAATCAATATCTTCTGCAGAGGATTAAAAAGGAAGTGCTTTGCTTTAGGGTGTTAGTTCAGGTAATCTATGGCTCTATAATCTCTCCTAGAGTAAGCTTCTTTGCCCTGGTGTACCAAGCATCTCTTACTGAAGGAGGGCAGGTGACATCACATCATATGTTGTATCAAGCATAATGAAAGTCTGTTCCTCTGGCTTTCACAGAGGAGAATAGTAACCTGAGGAAAGCTGACTACCACTCCTGAATCTCATACTGCAGTGCAGGTTTTGGTCTGATCCTTTGGCTTTGTCAGTGACTTTAATTTCCTGCAGAAAGATGAGCTTTACAAAAAGCTTTAGTTTGACAGCGCTTTTTTTTAAGTCAATTTTAAAAGAAATTATTCACTGGCTCCTGCTGTATTCTGTAAATAAACTTTGAATCTCCTGATCTGCAGGTAGCACTCTACATCTTCGCTATTTCATGCCATTAAATAGCAAAAAACTGGCTTGTATATCCTTGGTCTTTGCCCAGAGTATTTGTGAACTGGCTATATTTATTTACTAAGCTTACTGACTCATGCTGGGGGAGGGAGCCCTCCACAGAAGCAAGAGTTCATTTTTATGAAACGAAGAAACATGACTTGATTTAGAGTCCTGAGTTCTACTTGATTACAAATGTGAGGTTTAAATATTGGTTTACAAACAGGGTTTATGCTCGCTTTTTTACTTTGTACTACTGGGCGAGGAAGGCCTAGTTTCTGTTTTGCCTTGACGTACAAGGAGTACCCATTCTGAGATTATCTAGTTCTCTTTAGAGACCTTTTAAGAGTGGACTGTTGTACCTTAAAGGAAGAGAGCTAGAATTGCTGTCTGCTTAACAGTATTCCTTTTTACCAAGTGTTAATAGCTGCTTTATTTTGAAGACCAATTTAAATTTAAGGGGATTACCTGTTCTGACAGAAAACAACAGTTACCAGCTTTCAAGTGATACCTAGGGTTCTGAAAGTCTGATCTGCTGGATGGAATCCACTGATATTGTATTAGTTTTCATTGCTGCATGTACATTTCTAGCTTTTATTGATAAGATAATGACCTGACAATATGCAATTAAAGCTGGGAATGCAAAAACACCAAAATTAGAACTACCTTGAGACCTTTTCTTTAACTAACCTTTTGATTTTTGGGGTCCTTTTCATGACTTCTTGGCGTTCTTGTCATAGGCTATACGGAATTCCCTTCTGGTTTGAGTTGTGCAACTTTGATTCTTTTTCTGTGTGTGAAGCCATCTTCCCCAGGAGTGTTCCATAGATGTCTGAAAGCAGCAAAGTTTTGAACGTCTAATGTGTGCAATATTAACACTAAACCACTTCAGGTTCTATTTCTCATGAAGAAGCTTTCTTAAAGACAAAACAAAAAATTCTGACCCTCTCACTGCCTCTAGCCTTATGCTATCTTCTCTCTTTCTGGGAGAAGGCAGTTCAGCCATGGTAGCAATTGATGGTATCACCTGAATCTTTCAGGATGCTGATAGAGCCATGAGTTGCTGTCTCTGGCCCCTTGTGGAGTTTGGCTGAATGGCTCAGGCTGTCATCTGAGTAGTCTCTGTAGCCGATGTTCTGTTTAGCAAAATTTTCCTTTTCTTTCAGATGCTTATTTGTCAAATGTGTCATAAAGAACTTCACAGTAAGGTTCAAAAGAAACCAACCCATCTTTGGTTTTTACGCTAGGCACAAGATTTTTAGTTTTCTCTTTTTAAGCATAAGGAAACAAAATCAAGATAATGATTTCAGCGTTTTCTCAAAGCGAATTCAAAGATATCTAAAGTGACAGCCCCAGCACAAAATCTGACTGAGAATGTATGTTTTTCTGCTTTCTTGATCATTTTTGCTCTTGTTCCGCAGAAGGAACAGGAATACCGTGCACTGTAAAACATTCAGCATACACACAGTGGAGCCATGGTAATTTTGTTTGTGGAGCTTTTATTTCCTGACTTCTTAAAAGTGTCAACACGGGGGTAATGGTGTAGATCTGATGAGTATAAAGAAGTATTTTTGTTGTTCTGTAGGCTAAGACTACCCAAATTCAGGGTCCATTGTGTTCCTACCATGTAAACTCTGCAGTGGCCTAAGCGATGTGATTAACTGGAGCAGAATTTCATGAGCTCTGGATTATTTATTTAATGCACAGAGATTCTCTGCTTTAGAATTATGTTGATCTGGCTTGTCAAGAGGAACTAAATGAAGCTCTATAGCCTGAACCCACTGAGTGATAGCAAACCATGGAAAGGGGCTGTTTTGCCTGTAGTGACATGACAGGCTGCATCCTATCGTATTTTGTCAGGAGCAAATTTGAAGTACTTGTGCAGCTATCAAACTGCAGTAAGCAGATCCTTTCAAAGCTGCAAGTCACTTTAATAGGTTGGGTTGTCAGAATGAGAATTGCAACTTGCAGACTTCATGAATCAGAGCTTATTTCCCAACTGAAAATATTTTCCAGCTCAAGTGTTACTGCTTTGCTAATTTATACATAATAGTTTGAGTGTTCCATGCTCAAAGAAAAGAGTAAAAGCTTAATTCATTTACATTTAATACTAGCTGGCTCTGTGACTTATTACAGTAATTTCTCTAAATAAAGCCTCCATACAGAAGATGTTTTACTAAGGGGCAAAGGGAAATTATGCCCTAACAGATATAATGAAAAATAAAATTACTGGCTTCTCTGCTCTATGAAGAAGATTGCAAAGGTCATATTATAGGTTGCGTTCTATGAGTTGTAGCCCTGGATTGTGTCTCTCGTGAGACACTGTAATTGTATTACTTAGTAATACAGATCTGGAAGCTGACAAGGAGCATAACTGGGACTGATTTTGATTACCACTGTTATGATGCTCTCATGTCTCTTGAATTTGGTTGTTGCCAAAATGGTTCAGGAGAAGATAGTTTGTATGTGTTTACTAGCAATATTGTGTTGTTTCAGTTGTTAATCTAGCTGCCATTCCAGGGCAGTTTAGTGTGGGAATGGGAATTGCTTCTTACTCTCCTTTTGGCTTGACTGTTGAGCGTCACAAGTCTTATGGCCTTCTGCCTTTTGTATTGAATGTAGGTCCTAAAGAATGTTAGCTGAAAATTCTTCAGAACATCAAAGAGGAAACTAAGAAAGTAAAGAAACAGTGGTGTCCAAATAGTCTCTTTTGCTCCATTCCTATTACTGGACAAGACCTTCCTAGGTTCTTTTTATCTCAATTTCTCCATAGATGATTTTTGCTCAATTTCAGTGAAGATGTTATTCCGCAGATTGACTATGGAAAAAATCCGGAATTTGAAATACATTATGCTGATTACATTTGGGCTCAAAGTGAAATTGAATCTGAATTCTGGCAGTTAGGAAAACTATAATCCCTTGGATTACCAGGCAGCCCTGTTGCCTTGCAAATCTGAATCAGTTGTTCTCTTCAGGTATCTCCCTGGGAGCTTCTGAGTACTGAGAATCTCTGGAGCGCAGGGCATTTTTTTCGGACACCTAAACAGAGATCTAGAAGTACATCTTCAGCCACCTCATATGGCTTGCAAGCTAAAAGCAGAATTGAGAAATCAAAAGGTAAAAGAAGAGGAGATGCGACCTCAGATGAAACTTTAATAGGGATGTTTGACTATGGGAACCAAGGAGAATCACCTATGCATGCTTAGAATATAACTGCTACAGAGGATAGATCAGAAGTGCCCAGTATGAGGGAAAGGAGAGGTGAGACGTGCATGACCAGCTGAGTCTTTTCTTGCTTGGTGGGGCTGGAAAGGAAAAGGACTCAGTGGGAGAGCAGGGCTTAAATTTGCAAAAAGCCTATTGTATTTATTTTCCTTCCTTGTCCTTCTCGTGGCCTTTCCGCCTTCACTGGTGTTTGTGTCCCTTACAGGGTTTCATTCCACTGCAAGGCAATCAGGTGAACGAGCTGCCACCTAATCCTGATGAACCAGGGAAACATCTGTTTGAAATTGCCCCAGGTAGGCCAGCGTTTCCTTGTACTTTGTGCCTAACATCATCCCATTCCCATCAGTTGTCATTAATGATAACTGAACTGCAAGGCTCACTTCACTTCTAAGCATTCTGACACACTAGTCACGTTCTCTAAAAAGAAACAGGATTGCACAGACTGCCTCATGGTTTTTTGTTTTGGAAATGCTGTTGCTGTGGTATCTCATGAAAAGAGTAGTTGAGGTGCGTCATGCCCCTTGCTTTTCTGTTTGGATGGGGCTCCCTGCCTGGACTATGTCACTTACAGTTCTGTGTGATCTCCCAGTTTGATGTGGTTTTCTGGTTGTTATAGCTCATGGGAGAAGCTGTCACACAGAAGAGCCCAGAATATATAGAAAAGAGGCATGCAGTAACTGGATATAATTTCTTTTAGATATACAAGTGCACTTTCCCAATTTGAAAAACTTTAGTCTCCAGATATCTATTCTTTTAAGCTAAAAGCCAAATAAGTTTCCATGGAAAGAAATTAGGGTGAAATTTTGTTAGGCTGAAAATGTAATTATTGGCATAACTTTAATGGAAGACTTTTGATCAGTGTAGCTCCTGCGTTAAGACTTTCTGTGGACTAGCTTGGTAGCTCCAGAATACATTTAGGGTTAGGTTCTGTGCTGCAGTCCAGGAGCAATTGTACTTGCTTCCGTTCAGTTCTGATTGTATCTGAGAGGAGGGAGGCCCTTCCTTGTGCATAGATTTGAAGGTAATATATTTTGGGGGTGGTTCTGGGTGGCAGGATCTGCAGAGGAGAAAGCTGTTGCATCACTAGCAGTGTAAGATAAGAGGACTGAGAAAGATGAACCAGGGTGAGTGTCTTGACACCTGTCTCCCCGTACCTCAAGACCGAGTTCCTGGAAGCAAGGAGGAGACAGAGGTGGCTGGGGTAAAAACTGTGCGAATGCACTGACCGGTCATGCTTTCATTTCACAGCCAGTTTCTCCTGCATGGATTAGCTTTCTCTTTCTTATCGTTATCTGTTTCCCCACAGTGGTGGGGCTGCTGATACAGTAGATTAAAAAAAAAAAAAAAAAAAAAAAAAAAAAAGAGGTAGCCTAACATAATTACAGTTACATGGAATGGATAATGTGGGGCATGTTTGTCCCTTGCAGCTGAATACTGCTGCTGGAGGCAGTATGCTTTTTACCTGTGTGTTTGGGGTCTCTTTCTTGCTGTCTAACCAGGCAGGACTGCAAATGTCTGTTGTACGTTCTTCTTGACATAGTATCAGGCAGTGCAAGAAAAACAGACTGTGCTGGAAGGCTCTCAATTACAACAGTAGACAAGATTTTGCCATAACTTACTGCAACAGCATTCTGTTTGATACACAAGAATCTACTTGGGGAGAAGGGATTTTATTTTTTTCCTCATTATTGCATAGTGTCTGTTATTGCTTCCTTTTTCTTATCCTGTCCTGCACCCTCATAGGCTATGCCCCTCAAACAACAGGGCGTTGGGCTGGCGGCATTGCTTACATGGGAGATCTCTTAGAAACGGGCATTCACTGCCTGAATTGACACACGTGCTTTGATTCGTTTCCCAAAGATCATACACTGTACTACTACAGAAGTACTCCTGTCCTGCGCTGTGAAAGCACTTGTGTTGTTTTGGTGTTATTAACGATCCCGTGTGTTCTAGCAATGATCTGAAATAATTCCACTGGCTGGCTGAATTTTAAGTCTTCTGTAAATTTGAGTTTGCCTTCTGATTCTGGCTGGGTAAATGATCATTCTTCACTTTTTGCCCAACCTGTCAGGTTGTGTTGCTGTAGATTGCAAAGGAATTATGCTGACCTACAAGTGGCTGCCATTTCAGTGGAGTGGGTGAAACAACACTTGTGGCTATTTGGAACCCTTTGGAAAGAGGCTGCCCAAAGGGATGAGGAAAAGGCGATGCTCCACTTGCACCATAATTGTGTGTCCCAGGACATGTCTGTTCAGCTTGTAGTATTGATGTTGTCCTTCTTTGCATTCCTGAGAAAAATTACTCTGTCTTAGTCCTACTGCTATCCTGTCTCCAAAATTCAGGTTTTTTCTTATCTTGTGGAGCTAAAGCCATTCATGTGTGTAGCAAGCTTTGGTTACTACCGAGGGAGCAAATATTGAAAAATGCCAATTGATGAAGAATGTTACTTAAGCACAGATGTCACTGGAGAATGTGGCCTGGGAAGTTCTCTGTTCTGTGATTTTGTTCACAGTATGCTTATTCTAGACTGATTTGGTGTAAGTAGGGTTGTGATGACATTTATTTTTGTTTATCTTTTGAAATAGCTGTGCTTTGTGCAGTGGCCAGCCTGCAGAACACCCACATAGTGAACAGTTCTTAAAAAGGTGATAAATAGGAAGGGGAGCACAAATGACCTTATAGAACTCAAGTCGTTATTTCCCATTTTTCTCTGGGTTGGATGTCTCACCACGATCGTATCCCTGTCTACTTGCACCTCAGTTACAGTTTTCCCACTGTAATGTAGGGCTATACGTGTCTATAGACATAAGAAGATCTTTTTAGTCTCCTTAACCAAGCCGGGTATCCTGTGAAGACCAAGTACATTCCAGAGCTGTAAATACAGACTTGGGATTTTACTGTGTCTGTGGGCTGCAGAGCTCTAACAAATTAAGAAAGCGTGCAGCATTGTTCAAGTGTTTACCAGTATTGAGATCCTTTGGAAACTAATTATTTAGCAATGAGAGAGGCTGAGATCTTTTTTTTTTTTTTTTTTCCTCATCTCCTAGCAAGAAAACGTCCAAAGCTTTCTAAAGTCTGTGTTACCTGTTACTTCCAAAGACCTATTTTGCGATTGATTGCAAAGGTTTCAGCATTTTGATTTCCAGAATAGTTGTTTGGATCTTACCAGCTTTCCTCTGCTGTGGGCTATGTAAAGCTTGGCTGTGGGAGCTGCTCCCTCAGAACGTAGGGACGGAAGTAACAGCATGTCCTGCATTGTAACAGAGCCTGTATTGATTTTCTGCTGAGTAACAAGAACTAATGATGGGCATTGTGTATTATTCATGTTTCATCAAGTTCATTTCTAAGCTGTATAGTGCAGCTGGGAGAAGGGTTAACTAGGGACATGAGAGACTGCAAAACTGTTCTGCAGTCAAACCAGCGCTGTATTTGGTGGCAGGACTTGCTGAAATACCTCCTTTGGCAGAAATGTTCTCTATCTTTTGTCTGGGGGACCTGGCTGAATTTATGGCCCCTTTTTAACCCATTCACTAGCTGTGATGAAGGAAGGCATGAAGTTCTAAATGGAATGACGAAGTAAACCAGACACTTCATCAGCTGATGTCATGTCTTAGGGCCCATGAGTAGGCAGAAGGGGGAAACGTCGTAAAGTTGTTAGGGTGGTCTGAAGTCAAGTGCAGAGTTTAATGATTAGGGTTCATCATCATGCAAGGAAGCTGCTGTTTCTGGATGGAAAAAACAAAATCACTGTATGTTGCTTGAGGGAAGAGGCCAGATCTGATGATAGAGAAATTGTATCTGACTGTTGTTACCAGGAGCAGCGGAGTAACAGTGTGTTAGCCTGGGGTCTTAAAGCGCATTTCAGAGCGGGTAGGGCAATGTGTAAGAAGCACAAGGAATGATTTTTGAGAACATCTTGGAGAACTCGGATAGGTTAAGGGCTCCCAAAGTCTCAAAGTGGATGCTTTTAATGCCCTTTGGCAGCTGTCTCTCCAGTTCTGTTCCCTGGTCTCTGCAGCGCTATGAAGTGAGATGCAGAAGTTCCTCTGCCGAACTGGGTACGTTTGGAACTGGAAATTGCCTGCTGAAAATCTCTCTGTTTTTCTTGTTCTTCCTTCATGCCCATTGAATATGTGACAAAATGTTGACAGGGAGCTCTGTGTTGGCACTGCTCCTCACTGAGGTACTGAAATTAAGGAGAGTTCGCTCTTGGAGTTAGTGAGGTTTTCAGAGTTCAGGAAGGGAGAGGTAAAAAGGTTCAAAAGGTAGGAGGTGAAAAGTTTTGGGTTTTTTGATAGGTAGGGCAAAGGTTGTTATAAATCAAGCTGATTGGAGAATAGCTTTTCTTCTTTATGGAGAAGTGGGGACTTTTTAAAAAAAGATTCTGTTATTCAGCCTTCAAATAGATTTGATTTAATCTTTTCATGGAGAAAGAGAAGGGAAAGAAACATGAACAGGAAAATTCCCATGGATTAAGTGGTACCTTTGTTGCTAACATCCTCTCCTGTGATGTGGGAGACCCAAGTCTCTGTTCTACTAGGTTTAGATCAGGAACATGAATGTTGCCTACATACTAGGTGAGCGTACCCTCAGTGACTTCTGGTTATACTGGGAGGGGTGTGTTTGCTTCATTTTTGACTATGAAACTATTCTAGAGTTCTTGTCCAAAGAAAATGTTCCCTTTTGTAGTTTAAAAAACTGGCATGTTCCGATTGAAAGCAGCTTTGCTGAAAAATTTCTGACCAAAACTCGTGTGTCTCTTAATTGCTCCTGACAGCTGCTTCCTCACTGTTGCCTCAGTGCTTTCTGCTGAGGTCAACAGTGACAAGTCTTAGCTAGGTCTTTCTGCAAAAATAAGAGTGCAGTTCTGTGTAAGTGTAATTTGACTGCACTGCAAGCTGCTGCAATCAAATTTCTCCCTTTCCTCTTGGCGGCTTTCCTAATATCCTGTCATATCCTTCACTTAGCTCTTATGACTGTGCAAAAACAGTTTTCAGCCAATCAGACCACAGGCTGATCAAATTAAGTTTACAGTGGAAACTGCACCTTTGCTTTTTGAGTGAGTAACATCAGAGATGTTGCTCTAGTGAGTGCCATTATCAACCCTCTGATTAATGGAACAGTTCACAGCCCTCTTCAGAGCTATTGGTTGAGTCTTTAAGAAGCTTGAGACAGTGGCTGCCTATGTGTGATTCATATTAAAAGATTATTTTCAAAGCGTTAGAAGTTAGAGCTCTGTAGCTTGATTTTTTTTCAATTAATTGTGAAGACTGAGCTCAGTATAGGCAGCTTG